CTATTATACAATTGTGGGAGCGGGGGAGGAGGAGCCAGAGAAAAAAAAAATCAATTTTAATGGATGAAGGTCAACTTTAAGGATACAATGTGGTGAATAAGAGGTACTGCAGGGGGAAGCTTTTAGCTAGAAAAAAACAACCTCCCACCAATACACACCTTCACCGTACTCCCCACCACACTGTGACTACCTTGGGTCAGGAAATCCATGCCCTGTGTATGTCTCATTGGAGCTTTCACAATGTAAATCATTTCCGCCTTTCACTCCCAGGATTAGCTTCTGCATTCTAAGAGGAAGGAGAGGTCACATGCTCCCCATATCTGGAAGTACTTGCATTTTTGAAGGGTTCCACATGGAGCAGTGAAGTAGCAAAGGTGAGATTCATCAGGTGTTTTTTTTTTAAGAAAAATGGGCAATGTCCTGTATACTGTAAGGTCAACAGTCACACTTCTATAACCTATAATATTGATTCTTTCATCTCTTGTACTTCTAAGAATGTAGTTTACTTGATGCAGTGCCTATGTGGCCTGCAATATGTGGGTCTTACAGTCCGCACCAAGCAAAGTAGGATCAAAGAACATACTGCAAACATACTAAAGTTTTTCCAAACCATAGTGTGTCTAAAACACTATCCATTAAGTCATGGTAAAAATCCTGATGGCACACTTATTATAGCTATAGATAGGTTTACTCCCAATTAGTTGGGCAACCATACCAGACGGGAAATATCTAAGCTAGAGACCCAGTGGATTTTCACTTTAAAAACATATGTCCCTCTTGGCTTAAACATTGAATGGGATGTAAATGCCTTTATTAGTAATAGTTAAGTGTTTTTAGTAGTAACAGTTAAAACAATTTTATTGTTTACTAATAAACTTAATAGTCATGTAACTTTAAAAGGGTTGAATTGTGAATTTTTGATTGTGTTGAATAACATCTGGATTTGATGTAATATGTTTCTAAACCAGACGATGGCGCTAATCCTTTTCCGTGTTTGCTTTAATACTGTTTATTTATTTATTACAGGTATTTATATAGCCATCAATTTATGCAGCACTTTACATATATATTGTACATTCACATCAGTCTCTAACTCTCTATCTAAAGTCCCTAACTTACATTCATACATACATGTACTAAGGCCAATTTAGACAGGATCCAATTAACCTACCAGCATGCCTTTGGAGTGTGGGAAGAAACCGGAGTACCTGGAGGAAACCCACACAGGCATAGGGAGAACATGCAAACTCCAGGCTGGTGGTGCCATGGTTAGAATTTGAACCAACGACTCTAGTACTGCCAGGCGAAAGTGCTAACCATTTAGCCACTGTGCTGCCCATAATCCCTTTATAATTTAATTATTTTTCTAATATACACCATATTGTCAAAAGTATTGGCACACCCCCTCCAAACCATTGGATTCAGGTGTTCCAATCACTTCCATGGCCACAGGTGTATAAAATCAAGCACCTAGACATGCAGACTGCTTCTACAAACATTCGCGAAAGAATGAGTTGCTCTCAGGAAATCAGTGAATTCAACTGTGGTACCGTGATAGGTTGCCACCTGTGCAATAAGTCCATCCATGACATTTCCTGGTTACTAAATATTCCACGGTCAACTGTTAGTGGGATTATAACAAAGTGGAAGCACCTGAGAACAACAGCAACTCAGCCACCAAGTGGTAGGCCACATAAAATGACAGAGCGGGGTCAGCGCATGCTGAAGCATACAGTGTAGAGAGGTCGCCAACTGTCTGCAGAGTCAATAGCTAAAGACTTCCAAACTTCATGTGGCCTTCAGATTAGCACAACAACAATGCATAGAGAGCTTCATGGAATTGGTTTCCATGGCCGAGCAGCTGCATCCAAGCCTTACATCACCAGGTGCAATGCAAAGTGTCGGATGCTGTGGTCTAAAGCACTCTACGGCAGTTCCAGACGTGTTCTCTGGAGTGATGAATCCTGCTTCTGTCTGGCAATCCGATGGACGTGTCTGGGTTTGGTAGTTGCCAGGAGAATGGCACTTGCCTGATTGCATTGTGCCAAGTGTAAAGTTTTGGTGGAGGGGGGATTATGGTGTGGGGGGTTGTTTTTCAGGCATGGGGTTTGGCCCTTTAGTTTCAGTGAAGGGAACTCTTAAGGCATCAGCATACCAAGACATTTTGGTCAATTTCATGCTCCCAACTTTGTGAGAACAGTTTGGGAATGGTCCCTTCCTGTTCCAACATGACTGCCAGTGCACAAAGCAAGGTCCATAAAGACATGGATGAGCGAGTTTGGGGTGGAGGAACTTGGCTGGCCTGCACAGAGCCCTGTCCTCAACCCGAAAGGACACCTTTGGTATGAATGAGTGGAGACTGCAAGCCAGGCCTTCTCGTCCGACATCAGTGCCTGACCTAACAAATGTGCTTCTGGAAGACTTGTCAAAAATTCACACACACAGACACCCTCCTAAACCTTGTGGACAGCCTTCCCAGAAGAGTTGAAGCTGTTATAGCTGCAAAGGGCGGACCAACTCAATATTGAACCCTACGGACTAAGACTGGGATGCCATTAAAGTTCATGTGTGTGTAAAGGCAGGCGTCCAAATACTTTTGGCAATATATAGTGTATTTTATCAGTTCATGTATATGTTTATATACATCCATTTCTAATGGGTTTGGTGGCTGATGTGATCCTTTTTTTGTTTTTTTGTTGACCCTCCAATATATAGTTTCCAGTCACTGAGTTATATAGCTTCTGCCCTGTGGTATTGTTATTACATCTGGTTTAGAGTTTACTGTTTAGTTTCCGGTCACTGGAATGCAGGTGATTACTTGCGCAAGTGCGCTTCCGCCTGATGGATTTATAATCCGCGATGAACACCGTTGACCACGCCCCTGACGACAGGCTTTTTTTAAATGACAAAATGCGTTGGATAGAGCTATGGCATTGTCAGGGCTCCCGGGTGTGACCAGAGGTGTGTGACTGAAGCAGGGAAACGCAGACTTCAGATATGTTATAAACAATATAATTTATTAACACTAACAATACAAACATACATAAACGCAGTGCAATACTAAAACATAACACAGTGCAAACAAACCAAACCAACCACCCACAGATAACAGTACATACAGTGCAAGCGTCGTCAGGCAGGCCGGGTCAATATCAATCGGGCAGGTAGGTACAGGGGGAGCAAGCGGAGAATGGTCGGGGTCACAGGCCAGGTTCAGCAGGTAGCGGGCAGCGTGGGACAGAGGGTCAGGCAGAGGGATGGTCAGGGTCACAAGCCAGGGATCAGAACAGGAGAAGTCAGCAGAGGTCAGAATCAAGCAGGGTCAGCAACAAGACAGGAACGCAGGTTTACAAGATACAGGGCCCAGGAAAACACACACCAAGGCAGAGTCTGCAGGTCTGAATGTCCCTTAAATACACCAGTATAATTAGTTCCAGGTGTTTGACTGGCTGCAAGGTTGAGTCTCTGATTGCTGGGGAGCACCCGCTGGCCAGCCCTGGTACTGCAGCTCATAAGGCAGGTGAGTCCCACTATTGCTGGCCAGTCCTTCCTGACAGTACCCCCCCCTCAAGGAGCGGCCTCAGGACGCTCCAAACAGTCCTAGCTGGGAAAAATGTTCCACCGCCCGGGTCTGGTAACTGGCGGGATATCAAAGACTGGCACACCGGGCAGGACTCCGGGCAGCGGCACACCGGGCAGGACTCCGGGCAGCGGCACACCGGGCTGGACTCCGGGCAGAGGCACTCCGGGCAGAGGCACTCCGGGCAGAGGCACATCGTGCTGGACTCCGGGCAGAGGCACATCGGGCTGGACTCCGGGCAGAGGCACATCGGGCTGGACTCCGGGCAGAGGCACATCGGATTACCAGGCGAAGCAGCAGGCACCGGGCCACCGGGCGGAGCAGCAGGCACCGGGCCACCGGGCGGAGCAGCAGGCAGCGGGCCACCAGGCGGAGCAGCAGGCACCGGGCCCCCAGGCGGGGGGGCGACAGGCATCGGGCCCCCCAGTGGGGCGACAGGCACCGGGCCACCGGGCGGAGCAGCAGGCAGCGGGCCACCAGGCGGAGCAGCAGGCACCGGGCCCCCAGGCGGGGCGACAGGCATCGGGCCCCCCAGTGGGGCGACAGGCATCGGGCCCCCAGGCGGAGCGGGCGGGCACCGGGCCCCCAAGCGGAGCGGCGGGCGCCGGGCCCCCAGGAGGGGCGACCGGCATCGGACCCCCAGGCAGGGTGACAGGCATCGGGCCCCCGGAGCGGCGGGCGCCGGGCCCCCAGGAGGGGCGACAGGCATCGGGCCCCCAGGCGGGGCGACAGGCATCGGGCCCCCAGGCGGAGTGGCGGGCGCCGGACCCCCAGGCGGAGCGACAGGTCTCGGGCCCCCAGGCGGAGCGGCGGGCGCCGGACCCCCAGGCGGAGCGGCGGGCGCCGGACCCCCAGGCGGAGCAACAGGTCTCGGGCCCCCAGGCGGAGCGGCGGGCGCCGGACCCCCAGGTGGAGCGACAGGTTTCGGGCCCCCAGGCGGAGCGGCGGGCGCCGGACCCCCAGGCGGAGCGACAGGTCTCGGGCCCCCAGGCGGAGCGGAGCGGCGGGCGCCGGACTCCCAGGCGGAGCGACAGGTCTCGGGCCCCCAGGCGGAGCGGCGGGCACTGAGTCACCAGGCACGACAGTGGGCTCCGAGTCAACTGGCAAGACTGCGGGCACCGAGTCAACTGGCAAGACTGCGGGCACCGAGCCAACTGGCGGAACAGCGGGCTTCGAGTCGTCTGGCAAGACTGCGGGCACCGAGTTGTCTGGCAAGACTGCGGGCACCGAGTCGTCTGGCAAGACTGCGGGCACCGAGTCGTCTGGCAAGACTGCGGGCACCGAGTCAACTGGCGGAACAGCGGGCATCAAGTCAACTGGCGGAACAGCGGGCTTCGAGTCGTCTGGCAAGACTGCGGGCACCGAGTCGTCTGGCAAGACTGCGGGCACCGAGTCGCCTGGCAAGACTGCGGGCACAGAGTCGTCTGGCGGAACAGCGGGCATCGAGTCGACTGGCGGAACAGCGGGCACCGAGTCGTCTGGCAAGACTGCGGGCACCGAATCACCAGGCACGACAGTGGGCTCTGACTCAATTGGCACGACAGCGGGCACCGGGTCATCAGGTACCGGATAGTCTGGCTCGACAGCGGGCATCGAGTCACCAGGTATGACAGCGGGCACTGGGTCACCAGGCATCAGGTCATTTGGCTTGCCAGCGGGCACCGCGTCATCTGGCAAGGCAGTGGGCACCGGGTCACCAGGCATTGGATCGTCTGGCTCGACAGCGGGCATCGGGTCACCAGGCATCTGGTCATTTAGCTCGCCAGTGGGCACCGCGTCATCTGGCAAGGCAGTGGGCACCGAGTCACCAGGTACGACAGCGGGCTCTGAGTCAATTGGCACGACAGCGGGCACTGGATCAGGTACCAGATCATCTGGATCAACAGCGGGCATCGAGTCAACTGGCCTAATAGGATCGTCAGGCTGGATCAGTTCATCATGCTGGGTAGAGGCATCAGGCTGAATGGAGGCATCCGGCTGAGTAGAGGCATCAGGCTGAGTAGAGGCTTCAGGCTGAGTAGAGGCTTCAGGCTGAGTAGAGGCATCAGGCTGAGTAGAGGCATCAGGCTGAGTAGAGGCATCAGGCTGCGTACAGGCATCAGGCCGAGTAGAGGCATCAGGCCGAGTAGAGGCATCAGGCTGAAGAGAGGCATCAGGCTGAAGAGAGGCATCAGGCTGTGTACAGGCATCAGGCTGAGTAGAGGATTCAGGCTGAGTAGAGGATTCAGGCTGAGTAGAGGCTTCAGGCTGAACCACGGAAGGCAGGTTCACAAGTTTGGATACTGGCAGGATGGTATTGGTTGGGAAGAATTTTCGCTTTTTTCTGGTTTTAACTACTGGAGCACTGCAAGTAAACGCAGGTCTGCAAACGAATGGGGCAGCTGGAGACAGAGAAGAGCTGGAGGATGGAACAGGGGAGGGAACAGTTGCTACAGAGGGCTTTTTTACAGGGTTAAAGGCAGGATAGGTGCAGCGAGTGGGAACAGGGTACTGACATGCGGTAGATAGCAGGGCAGGAGGAGCTGTTGGGAATGCAGGAATAGAGCTTTGAGGAGATAGATTAGAAGCAGGACTGGGTTTTTGTAGGATGACTGAGGCTGGGTGCAACAAGTCTGTCCATGTCTGCAGTATGGGTTGAACAAAGCTGAGCTTACACAAAGCCTGTCTGACTAAAGACTGCACTGCGTTTATACAATCCCTTAATACCTGTGGTGAACATGCAGCATAATGCTCCAAGAAGCAATCCACATCATCCTCTAATAACCATACCAGGGACTCTACCTGGTCGGCACTAAATGGCGGCAAAAATTAATCCCTGCATTCGGGGGAACCAGATGAAACCAACTCCGCACAAATCTGAATCAATGGCTGCACCTCAGAGAACTCTGTGCCCTGATCTACTAGAACATGAGCGAGCCGTATATACATTCTAGCAGTTCATCCCGGGGATACTCCTTCAGAGTTTGATAAGCATACTCTCTGTCATCAAACACTAGCAGATATAAATACACAACCTCATCAAGATCCATCCTTCCCATCAACAAACCAAGATGGCTTCCCTGTGCAGCCACTTCTGGTCAGGATTGGCCTTGGTGTAATGTCAGGGCTCCCGGGTGTGACCAGAGGTATGTGACTGACGCAGGGAAACGCAAACTTCAGATATGTTATAAACAATATAATTTATTAACACTAACAATACAAACATAAACGCACTGCAATACTAAAACATAACACAGTGCAAACAAACCAAACCAACCACCCACAGATAACAGTACATACAGTGCAAGCGTCGTCAGGCAGGCCGGGTCAATATCAATCGGGCAGGTAGGTACAGGGGGAGCAAGCGGAGAATGGTCGGGGTCGCAGGCCAGGTTCAGCAGGTAGCGGGCAGCATGGGACAGAGGGTCAGGCAGAGGGATGGTCAGGGTCACAAGCCAGGCATCAGAACAGGAGAAGTCAGCAGAGGTCAGAATCAAGCAGGGTCAGCAACAAGACAGGAACAGGAACGCAGGTTTACAAGATACAGGGCCCAGGAAAACACACACCAAGGCAGAGTCTGCAGGTCTGAATGTCTCTTAAATACACCAGTATAATTAGTTCCAGGTGTTTGACTGGCTGCAAGGTTGAGTCTCTGATTGCTGGGAGCACCCGCTGGCCAGCCCTGGTACTGCAGCTCATAAGGAAGGTGAGTCCCACTATTGCTGGCCAGTCCATTCCTGACAGGCATAGATCGTGACCATCTTGCTGGTTGAAAACATCCTATGATATCCTATATGCTGAACATATTTCTTTGTAAGTGCAATACTTTTATTAAATACTGGCTTTTAGAAACTACTACACTATGAAGTAGTTTTGCTTTTCTTTGTTCATATTTATTTGAGAGCATCAGACCACCTTTTTGGTTCAATATCATACTTATACCTTGGATTAAGCTGCAGTGGAAAGGGGATCCCCAGCCATCAGTGTATACCATACGTGCTTTCTGACTGCTTGATTCGTGGTCATTATTTCTGGTAAGAGGCTGTGAATGTTGGCTGATGGTGGAGGATTCCTTCTTCATCAAGCAATTTTACCTCTTCTGGCACGAGCTTTGTGTGATTTCCAGTTGCACCATATGGACTTATTCTGAGGATTGCGCCTTATAACACTTGCACTTTATGTTCTGACATTTTAGTTATTGTCTTTGGGGATTTATCATCTTTTCAGATATTGAATATTTGGTAACTAGCCCTGCATCTTGTTATACATTAGTTATTGTTTGTTGCCCACATTCTTATTAGCTGCTTCTTACCAATCACGTTGCTCCTAGCACAGGTTGTTATTGTGTATAATGTCCTGTATATGGAATGCACAAATCTTGAATTTGAAGGCTGTATATATTTGTAAGGCAAGTTGGGGGCAGGGTCTACTCACCTGGCACATGGGGGTACCTCTTCTCCTGTTCATGCTCACCAATGCCCAGGATCAGGTGGGGCCACAGTCATGTGGATATAACATTAAGGCAGAACCCTGGCTTAGTCGTGAGCTGTACACCTTGTGCATATTCCTCCTGTGAAGCATTATATCCCATATTGCTACACACCTTGTCTACTAGAATGTAGCATTTAGAGACGGACACTGCTGAGCCTGTGTTCTGCTCCACCAGTCCAACTTTCCTTTGCCACCTAACTCCCAGTGACAGAATGGGATACTGCCATGCACTAAGCGTGGACTTCATGTGTGAGCTTAATTAACTGCCTACTCTTCCGTACCTGTGACTAGGTCCATGTGTATCTGTACCACCGGTTTGATCCCAATTGCTTTTGGGGCACTGTCCGCTAGGGAGGGAGTCAGCATTGACCCCTCACTACTGGAGGACCTCTCATCCATGCTTGGTACCACTCTCCATTGTCTGGCTGCTCTTACATTCCCACCAGTTCATGGTTACCCATAGCAACTACACACATCTCGCCAATTTCTCTGCTGAGTTAACCTTTCGAGATGGCCTTCCATTCCTTTCTTTTGATCCCTGTATGTGCTTACAGGCTCTTTACTTCTAGATACACCATGCACCACCATGCACCCCTTTGCAGTAACTTCAGACCCAGCTTTTAACAGTTAACAAAAACTGTAACATAAAAAACGTTTATATAATTTATGTTCAACTGGTAGAAAAACATACACACTTATGTTCAGTTACAGCCATGCATACAGATGTTTCTCAGCACTTGGGAAAGTAACCAGAATTTGCATTTTCTGCATTTCATCCACAGGTTGTAGAAGGAAGCTGAAACAACTTACAAAAACGTGATCTTATAGGATTTCCAGTTTTGGTTTTGTAGATGTTTTTCAAGAAAACTTTTAAGCAGGTGCTTACAAGCATTGGAGTTGACAGGTTTTCCAGGCTACCCCGGTGGGAAAGGGTTAAGCCAGTCTGTGAATTTTCCATGGCATTTTCTGTGCTCTGCCTCCTCCCCTTGGCAGAAGGCTCTTCTCAGGGATCTCTGCCATGGCCTGCATAGGAAGGAGTCGAGAGGAAAAGTCTGAAGATGTAACCACCAGCAACACACGGAGTGCCCTCTATGGAGGTTTGCTTGAGCAGGACTTTTCCACATCATGGACTCTCACCTTGGGAAGGTATCCCCGGGCAGCTTGGGTCTAAAACTGTTAGTGCACTGTTGGACTGTGACACTGAGTGTGTTCAGTAAAGTTTTGTTAACTAGCAGTTTTTGCCCAACTAACTAGACCCAAGCTGCCGGGGATACCTCCCCAAGGTGAGAGTCCATTATGTGGAAACGTTCTGGCTCAAGCAAACCTCCATAGAGGGCACTCTGTGCATTGCTGGTGGTTATATCTTCAGGCTTTGCCTCTTGACTCCTTCCCATGCAGGCCATGGCAGAGATCCCTGAGAGAAGAGTCTTCCATCAGGGGAAGGAGGGCAGAGCCCAGAAAATGCCATGGAAAATGCACAGACCAGCTTAACCCCTTCCCACCTGGGCAGCCTGTAAAACTTGTCAACTCCAATGCTTGTAAGCACCTGCTTAAAAGTTTTCTTGAAAAAAATCTACGAAACTAAAACTGGAAATCCTATAAGATCCTGTTTTTGTAAGTTGTTTCAGCTTCCTTCTACAACCTGTGGATGAAATGCATAAAATGCAAATTCTGGTTACTTTCTGGAGTGTTGAGAAACATCTGTATGCATGGCTGTAACTGAACATAAGTGTGTATGTTTTTCTACCAGTTGAACATAAAGGATATAAACGCATTTACGTTACAGTTTACATTTGTCTGGGATAAGATAAACCTTGCAAATTTTATGTATCAGTCTCCTGCACATGTTAATTATCAGGAGAGGCAGGTTTTCTGAACACATAATTCATTATTAATTTTATTAGAATTCGGGAATCGGAAAACAACAGATGAACAAGCTCTTTGGGGAGTATTTAATTGAAAAATGGATGTGCTGATGTAAAAGGAGCATGCACACGGTAAAGGAAACTGCAGAGTGTTTGCTCTATTTACTCTATGTTAGTGTTCTGGTTGTAATGTTTAAAGTTGAATCCCAGGTATGGTATACTTTTACATAGTTACCGTACATTGGTATACACTATACCTTGCTGATGCCCTTAGAAGCTGGAAATCAAAGAAGTGAACAAAACTTCTCCAGTGGCATCACTATGGGGGTGTGGACCGTAGACGGGCAACACCATCAAGTAGGTATATATATATATATATATATATATACAGTGGGGATCGAAAGTTTGGGCACCCCAGCTAAAAATTTGTATTATTGTGCATAAAGAAGCCAAGGAAAGATGGGAAAAATCTCCAAAAGGCATCAAATTACAGATTAGACATTCTTATAATATGTCAACAAAAGTTAGATTTTATTTCCATCATTTACACTTTCAAAATAACAGAAAACAAAAAAATGGCGTCTGCAAAAGTTTGGGCACCCTGCAGAATTTATAGCATGCACTGCCCCCTTTGCCAAGCTGAGACCTGCCAGTGTCATGGATTGTTCTCAATCATCGTCTGGGAAGACCAGGTGATGTCAATCTCAAAGGTTTAAAATGCCCAGACTCATCTGACCTTGCCCCAACAATCAGCACCATGGGTTCTTCTAAGCAGTTGTCTAGAAAACTGAAACTGAAAATAGTTGACGCTAACAAAGCTGGAGAAGGATATAAGA